TTAATGCTTGAAAATMGTSGAAAATTGRATTCAGTGTCTGGACTTCTGCAAGCGTGTGCATTTTTCATTATCAGTATTAGTTCCTAGCTTAGTTCAATGCTCTCACTATTTCCCGTAAGTTACATTCTTTTAAAACCAATAAAACCACGAAATAAATAAAGAAATACGCTGAAGAAATCTCAGTTTCACCTTCCAAGCAACAGCGTCAACTGTTCCTCAGTACTTCATCTTTTCTGCCAAGGAGTTTTAACTCCCCAAATCAGTTCTAAGCTTATTCCTCAGTTCTCCTATATATCAGCCGTATCGCAAGCATCGTCAGTCGGAGAAGAGTAAGCAACGCTGCTGTTAAACAAACTCTAATTCTGTTGCAGAATAAGCGCCACACCTACACATGCACACATTTACATATTCACGCTTACATTTACATTTATGTTTGCATTTCAATCTGTATGCATTGCAATCAAGGAGCATTAACACACCAAGATATGTAATTAGGTGTTGCAATTACCGCTGCAACAAGGAGACCTTGAACACACAATATCGAGACAACATGAATTTTTCCAGTCATGAACTTTTTAGACATACCCATACATATGCACATGCAGAAATTACTGTGTTGTGACCATATTGCCAGGCAGATTACTCTCGGCTAATACCTCGGGACATTATCCAAGTGCAAGTGCCACACGCATGTTTCTGTGTTTGTGTGTGTGTGTGTGGGTTAGACTCGCCTGTAAGAGTAGATGAAAGTTCATGAGAAGGTATTAAGACATATATGACGCAAATGACCACTCAATTGTTTTGTGCGATTGCATTGTGTTAATGTCTAGTTGTGTGAGTGTTGCAAGTAGCTGCAGTCGGATATTGCACTTAAGTAATAGATTTTTATGGCACTTGAGATTGTTATGAAACACAATATGGGTTTATAATTTCACATATTCTCTTTTCAGGAACTGAAACTTTGGTGCGGCGTTTGTATGGTCCTGTTACCCACCTTGGTTATAAAAAAAAAGTGTCTTTAGATATTAACATTTCTGATTTGTTTAAAATATTTGAAGATTTGTGTCCAGTTTRGGTAAAAAAACTTAGAATCAATGCTTTTTTAAGTTTTTCGGTAAGGTAACTATGGAAAAATTTCTACCGGAAACATACYGGTGTGGCAACTTACAGGGCTACTTGTAGATTTAGTCACAGCATCTTTTGCGATGAGACCCTCTTCTAGACTGTTAAGYGTACACAAGAAGAGGTTGCCTCGGCGCACTTCTTTATTTATATCCTGGTTTTATTGGTTTTCAACGTGTGCACCTTACTAGAARTAGTGAGAGCATTGAACTAGGCTAGGAACAAATCCTGAAAATCAAAGTCTAGCTGAGAGTTTTCGGAAATGATTTACCTCAATGGCWAGACCATCCGATTAAATTGCTTACTTATATCTAAGTGTTCTAAAAAATGGTATAAGCATACAAAAAAAAGTATTATAATGTTTGAAATATGCACGTCTGATAATTGAGGAATGCACCGCGACCTTTGGTCTATTGTGCCCTCTCCTAACTCACAGGGACTCACTTAGCAGCAGCGTATTGATGAAGACCAATATCCTGTTGGGTGCTAGTGAGGCAATGTAGTCCCTATCCGGAAACATGGATCCAAGGTCCTTTGAACTGTGTCTGCAGACTGCAATGCAGTCGATTAGCAGATGCTCCGGGGTTTCAGGCCACCTGTCGCAAAACCGGCAGTTAGCGCAAGAGGTTAGGCCTATGTTGAATAAATGCCTTTCAACGTGCAGTGGCCGGTGTAGAATGCGACCAGTAGCCTGASTTTGTCTCTTGGGAGGTTAATTATCGATTTGAACCTGTTCTGGTTGTACCCCCCGATTAGCAACTTGGCTTGTCGCTCGTTGCCAATGCCTTTCCCTACACTCTCTCTCTTCCTTGCGGAGCAGCTCCTTCATAGTATGGGGACCCACCCCAGTGAATGGTTCGGGCTCTAACATATTGGTTGAGGCTGCGGAGCGGGCGAGCTCGTCAGCCAGTTCACTGCCGGCTATGCCTCTATGACMAGGCACCCAGATTAGTTCTTTTTAGCTAGGCTATTCAATCGTTCTCTACACTCCTGCACTAGTAGCGATTTGATCTCATACGAGGAGATCACTTTTAGTGCCGCTTGACTATCGCTAAGAATAGTTATTCGCTCGTTGCGATAGTTGCGATAGAGGTTTATCTCTATGCACCGACTTAGTCCAGCAGGACCTCCAGAGCTGCCGTTGGGCAAGTTCGCATAGCGCAGGTCATGCAGACACAGGCCAACCGCTGAAGCTTCGATAGTTGGGTTCTCACCGAAACCGGCGACGCCGTAGAGGCCCAAGACACTGCCCCATATGTGATTATCGATCGCACAATCATGGTGTACAACCACCCGACGATCCTTGGCTTACAGCCCCATTAATGCCTTTGTTGCTTTGACTACGGTCTGGTTCACATGCACCGCAAAGTAGTCCCGCGTAAGATCAAGATATTTGACCTTGCTAGTCATCTCGATCCCTCTACCTCCAAGTGTGAGGTTCCTGARGCCGGGTAGAGACCTGCGCCTCGTGAACGGGAGTACGGTCATCTTTGAGGGGTTGATATTTAGTTCAACTCTCATGAACCACCTTTTCGCAGAGAGTATCCTCAAATTTACCTCTGGCTATAATCACGATGTCGTCCGCATACCCTTGGCAGCGGATCCCATTGTCAGTTAGCAGTGCTAACAGGTCGTCCACGACAAGGCTCCATAGCAGTGGTGATAGCACACCTCCCTGTGGGCAGCCTCTTGTTGTGCCAAGACGAATCCTTGTACCACCTACTGTGGTCTCAGCGATTCTGGTGCGCAGTACGGCCTCTAACCATCTACGCACCGGTGCTGCCACCTTCCTTCTCTCCAGTGCCCAGGCTACACTCCTGTGAGATGTGTYGTCAAAGGCCCCATCGATGTCCAAAAAAGCACATAGCATTACTTTCCCTTTCTCCAGTGAACTCTCTAACTCAGAGGTCAACTGCTGAGCAGCATGCATGGGTGCAGTCTTCAGCGTCTTCGACCTTATATCATGATCTATGATTTTGTCCATAGTTTTTAGTAGGAAGGAGGTTAGGCTAATTGGCCTGAATGATTTAGCCAGAGAATAGTCCTTCCTTCCTATCTTGGGTATGAAGATCACCTCAGCCGTCCTCCATGAGTCAGGGAAGTACGCCATTGCGAAGCTCTCTCTCAGCAGCCGAATCAGGTGAGGTTGTGGAAGTTGCCGTCCACCCCCGGGGACTTGAATTTTTTAAACGAGACCATAGCCGATCTGATCGATTAGCCAATCAGAGCGGGATGGCCAGTGTTCAATCATAGGTAGACATCGGTCTACCGGAACAATCTCCGGTAAGTGAGCACGCATAAGCTCTGTAGCTCTGTCCTCCGGCGAGCAGATAATTTTACGTTTTGAGCCGGTCGATTGGCAAACATTGGAAAAAGATAACCTTAAAAAAAAATAAATGCCAAAAGAATTATGTTTCGAATGATAATAAACATTCGCAATTAAATTTGAATTTTCTGTAGTTTTTCTTAAAAATAGTAGAGAAGTGTATACTCATAGGACCTCCGAAGTTTCTTTAGGTTTTTAGTTTCCTTTGCCCAGGATATAAGAATAAATTGCCGACGAATTTTTCAATCCTTAGAAGAACTGCTACCAAATTAGCAGAGTTGTTGAGTTTAAGTAAACTTTTTTAATTTCGTTAACATTATTCTTTAGTTTCTGAAGCCAGCTGGAAAATAACTAGTTCGATTTTTTTTCTCCTTACTCTCAGTTATAGAGTATGTAAGCGAGAGTTAAAACTAATATTTTTACCCAATTATTAAGTTTTCCATCAATGCCAGTATCGTTACCGTTATTATTTGTATATCGATTAATTTATCTACAATAACAAATAAAAGACACAAATCAATGCAAATTCTCCTAGCTCCAATTGCAACTAAGTGCAAGATTTGCAAATGGGAAAAATAATAAATTGTGATGCCAAAAAAAAARCWCAACCTGTTGTTCTGGTTTAATTAAAAACCGAACCACAAAATGGCCACTGGAATCTGCCTAAGCTCTGGCAATAACCAAATAACCAAATACTTGGATAAATAGCACGGCCGTAATAGTAAAAATAAATTTCACCCATTGCCAASTCGGAGCAATTTATCAAATGTATCAAATGTCTTAATTGTCTATGCGGGCCGAATGACACCTGCAAGGGGTAGCGGCAAATCCGTGCGCACACAAATTTCACAATTGCCATCATATTTTGCGGTTAAATGAAACAAAAGCGTAGGCACATGGGCAACACTGTTCGGCACTTCCTTCTACAGAACACCACGCTCCATCCGCATGTATGTATGTATGTATGCGTGTGTGTGTGTGTGTGACAAAAACAAAGCCACCAACTAATTGAGTGTGTCATGCATCCTGTCTTAAAGATACGTGTATGTGTGTGTGTGTGAGTGTTGGCGCCCCACACAAGTGGCCGACTCTTGTGCGTGAAACTATGTATGTGTGTGTGTGTGCGTTCTGTGTACTTCCGCTTTTGTTGCCGTTCGTACGCTCGTTTATCGCCGTGATAGTCGTCATCGTTCGGAAGCCAGTTAGAGTTGCGAAGCAGCGACATACTTCGGAAACTCCTTCGGCATCGCTTGGTCGTGTGCGTGTTGCTAGCGGCACAGTTGGTGGTAAGCAGTGGCACAGTGTTTTGTAGGGGTTTTACAGCCAGCGAGTCTCCTTATATGATTTCCATGAGTTTTGCGAAATATTTCGCATTTCCTCAATCTCACATATTTCTATACAAAAACGGGTTATTGTTARTTTYTGTARTTTGAAAAGCGTACCAATTGAAGCGACCCCCGTCGAAGTGTTTATTGTCGCGCCCATGTTGCCGATGGCGCATATAAATAAGTGCCGCCGAGCCAGTTGGAGGCATTTAACGGCGATCAACAGGTGAAAGCGCGCAGTTGGTTTAGAAGCGGCCAGCAGTAAGCACACGACAGCCGCAGCAAGTGAAAGCAAACGCTAAAGCAACGACATTAACATAACTGTTACATAGTTTGAATTTACTYTACTTTASTGTGTCCCGTTAAGTTACGCGGCAAATTGAGTTTATCTGCCTCGCTTTATAATCACATTAGAGGTAAAACGCGGTGAAATTAATTAAAAGCAAAGAACCAATAAACTAAAGAGTGCAACAAGTGTGAATTACAACAACAACGACACTTACAGGGATATACATTGTACAGTTAAAGTTGAAGGACTTAAAGGCAGTGCTACATCGGTTCCTTAAAGGTGAGTTGGGATTGGTGGTGGAACTTTGCAAAAAACTCACGACCCCTGAATGTTTTTTTGTGGGTGGGCATTTTTAATTCTACAAAAGTCCATAAGAATCCATCTTATTAGATAGTGGTGAGCTACTTTTTCTATAGATTCGAATTAATTTTTTATTTTATTTTATTTACATCAAAAGCAAATGAGTATATCAGCACATTTTCGCTCACTTTTTATAAAAAAAATAATAATGAATTTGATAAAAAAATTTTGGTAAAGAAATTATCTTAAATATTCAGATAGTGCAACACGATACTATGTGAATCAAGAACATCTGTAAGGGGTAACATGAGTTTCCTCGGATAAAAAACAAACTTCTTTCAACAACTTTTTCTCATATAAAAAATTAAATATTTTATTATAGTTTTTTATTGTTACAAGTATACACTATTAACAAAGAAATTCTGAAATTTTCGCAAAAAAATATTTTAAACTCGGCCATTGAAACGCCATTTCTGGTGATCCCTCTTTGGCAGCATAACTCCTTACAAAATCATCTCAAGAGAAAAGATACGTGTTTTAGTTAAAATCTTAACTTAGAATTTGGAGGAAGAAAAAAAATTAAAATTGGATCGATTTAGAGGTTCTCGAGCAATCTTGCCAAGACGGCGTACATAGCTTAGCCTATTTCCAAAACTATTATTCGGATTAACTCGAAAATTTAGGATAATATTCTAAAGGTGCTGTAAAATTTAATCCCATGTAACCCCTTAAGCAAACTGCTGTCTCTTATACACATCTAGATGTGTATAAGAGACAGCNAAAAAAATTGGATTGTTATGTTTACTACATGCCAAAATTTATTCTAAAATTCTTTTCTCTAAGGCATAAATAATATTTTTTTGTTTCAATTTTGGATGGATCCATTCATTGTTAGAATCATATTAAAAAATATCGTAGAAAGTTTTTCAAATATAATGGTTTTGCTTTTTGAAAAAGAATGTAGACTAGAACTCTTGGTATTCGCCTAATCGACTAAACTGTTTAACCGGATAGGGATTTATTCGAAGAATTTTAGGAGACCAAACAGTTTAACTTTTTAGTGAATTAGATTTAAAGATGCTTTATGTTATATTATATTTTTATATTCTGATCCTCAATACTAATAATAAACCATATGTCGCTACCTAAAATGCAAAATAACATAAGAACACTTTTCATAAGTTTACAGGCAAAGTAAACAAAATAAAAACGTTATAATAGAAATAACTCATGCTGAAACGAAACTTGAGTTTTGGTTATAATATGGTTATATATTTTTTATAAATTGCTTATATATTGGTTATATAGCGGCTATATCTGACAGCGGGCACTGAAAATTGTATGCTACATATATGTAATATGATGTAGTGAATCGTCGGCAATAAAAACTCCATTTTTTGATGATAAATATTTATATATGCAAATTGCTGCCCATCCTTTGACAGATATTTTTGTAGTACCTAGAACAATATATAGTGTATAGAGATATAGAGATATAAATAGATGACATGTAATTGTTTTTTGTACAGCTACAAGAGCCTTTAGAAATATAGCAAATTTGCATAGCAATACTCCAATGAACCAAAGAGGATTGCTGCTTGCTACATTCCCGTAAATTGCTTATCAGAGTTATCTTATCGTCGGAAAATAATCAAATAACGTGTCCAATTAAATGATGGTGCAATTAGTTTATTAATCAGTAGTAAATAAGCAAATGTGTGTAGTTAACTAATAAGTACATGTGTAAATTGAAGTGCTGGAATCGGTGAAAATCAGCGATATTTATTTCGAGACTGCAAACAATTCAATATTAGAAGTAAGAGCCAACTACAGCTAACACATAACGAACAAAAATTGGCAAAAAATATAAAAAAGTATTAAAAACAATTAAATAATTTTTCATGTAAATTTTACACTTTAATATGATGGCAGCGTGAAATTTGAAAAATACACATAAAATGCAAAAACTAGAAATATTTCTTAGCGAAACATTTTTTTATATCTTTTATTATCCAGCATAATAGTTTTTTTAAACAGTTCGTTCGTAGTCATTAATTTCAGCTATTCAACGCATATCTAAAACGCCTTTCGCTTCTAATAATCCCAGCAGTAACATGGACTTGCTTATACAATTTGATTGAAAGTTGTTATCAGAAAGCGTTGTGTTTTGTTTCAGTAATAGCTCAGTGCCCATTTTGCGCGAAATATTTYCGAACTGCAAATTTTTACTTTGCAAAGGCAAAGCGTGCAGCTATTTTGTGTAAAATTTAATAAATGTTAATAAATATTGAAAAATATAACCTTGTGAGCCACGCATATGTAGACCAGTTTGCTCTTTATCGATAAAAATGCATTATGTATCAGCCTYCCAAAGGTAAAATGAGCTCAGAAGCCACAAATTAAAAATGAAAATAAATACTTAACGCTGCTATGATGTGTTTAATTTTATTTTATTAGCTTTTCCCCTCAAAGAATCATGACTCACCATCAACAACTCTAAGTCGCCACGAGAAGGTGAATACTCGTATCATAGCTCTGAATTCAGTCACTCATACGCCATGTTGTACCAAGTGTTTTAGATTTTAGTTTGCTTGCCTTGATTGGATTTTGTTTTTTTTCTGTAAATACTTTACATAATTTATAGTTTTAATTTTTACTGTTAACTTTTCGACGATTTCGAGAAGAATGCGCTCTTCTTTATTTTTTGTAGTTGGTTGTCCAAAAAGTCTTTTCGTATTTCAAACTTCAACTTACTTTTTTATATTTATAATGAACTTTAAAGAACCAAATATGTACTCTTTTGATCGACCACTTTTTGGCATATTTCTGCTAGAGACATGACTTCATCCGTGTAAAACTTTTCTGGTTTCTTGACGAAAAAGTGCGACAAGTAATTTTCACAGGCTTTTCTTGAAGCCGACTTTACTCCATTAGGGGAGTTCTGCATTGACCGAAACAAATCGTACTTCGAATGCGCAACGTCAGAGCTATATGGTGGATGCATCAAAACTTCCCAACTAAGCTCTCCCAATTTTTTCCGAGTCATCAAAGATGTGTGTCTTCTAGCGTTCTCCTGATGGAAGACGAATCCCTATCTGTTGATAAATTCTGGTCGTTTTTTCGATTGCTTGCTTCAATCTCATCAGTTGTTGACAGTAAAATGTAGAATCAATCGTTAGACCAAGCTGAAGCAGCTCATGGTGGATGATTCCTTTCCTATTCCACCAAATACTCAGCATAACCTTTCGAGATGGCAATGCTGGCTTTGCGACCATTTGTTGAGCTTTACCACACTTAGACCATGATCAACGGTTCGTCTCCTGTTAGCACTCGCCTCAGAAATGGTTCGGTTTTAATTCGTTTCAGCAAAGAATCGCAGATTTAATTCAATTCATGTGGTACCAAAACATCGAGCTTCTTTTTGTAGCCAGCCTATTTTAAATGGTTCAAACCCTCATTATTTAGTTTCTTACCGATGTCATGGCTGCTTATGGTGGTCCTGGTCAATCTTTTACATAATTTCATCGATTTTTTTAACGATCGGTCGACCAAAGCAAGGTGCATCTTTTGCATCGAAATTTCCAAAACAGAAACGAGCGAACCATTGCTGTGCTACACGAACTGAACAGCGTCGTCTGCGTAAACTTCACACATTGTATTGGTGACTTGCGTGGCATTTTTCCCCTTTTTATGCAAAAATTTCAAAATAGAGCRAACTTCTTCATTACTTCCACTCATTTTTGAATAGCTGTAACTTCTTTTCAACTTCCCCGAATTTAATTTTAAAATTGTGGCTAAATGAAGCTTAAAACTTCACCTTTCCAACACTATATGATATGACACAATGTGATTGTGATCATTATTTGAGTTTTGGTCATATTAGTGACCAATTGCTCTCACATAAATATGAACACAGCTATCATGAGCTTAAGCTTAGCCAAAAGGTCAGCGAAATAAATCGATTGAGTTTTCTTACCCTAATTTTCGTGACAAATCGGGAACATTGCAATTCCCATGTGGGAAGTGTGTTTTACTGTAACTCAGGCCACGGCTAATATTCTAATTTATCAAATCAAGTCCATTTCAAAATCTATTGAGTCATCAATTTGCACAGGAACAGGTGTTTTAGTTCAAATGGAAAGTGATTTCAGCACAAAAATAAAATAGATTAAATCGCATATGCTATTATTGGCAACAAAAACTATTTGTAACGCTGTCGAATTGCTTAAATTAATGCAGCTTTTATGCGCGCACACGTTCAAGCGGAAGCAGGAAAATCCCAACAAGCTGAAAAATGACGCGAATGAAGCCATTCAGTTTTCAATTGACAATCAAATATCGGCCAATTGAAAAAATACAGATATAAAACGGCCATTTAAGCACGAGGCAACTGGTCCACATGTCCACGATTAGCTTTGGCTGCAAGCGCACAGAGGCGGAAGTTCTATTTCGCTATCAATTGTTGAAATAATAAAAGAGAGCAGCTGAGACGCTGCGAAGACTTCAACAAAAGTGCTTGTTTATCTACATATGTCCGTCTGCATGCGTGTTTGTGTGTGAACAGAGCACTTCTAATAAACGGAACACCYGCCTAACGACAAAACAATGTACTGCCACCACACACACACACAAATCCGCATTCAATTCGTAGGACACCGACCGCCCTAGATCTGCAAACATACAGACATACCTGTGGAACAGTCGCTAAACCGGAAAGCGTCGCTGCTCCATTGATTGCCGCCTTCAATGKCAATATAATTTTTCAGCTAATAACAAAATTTCAAACACTCCATGTTCCGTGTATGCATGTGTGTGTATGTGTTTTACTTCGACAATTCGACTACAACAACGGCTTTTCTTTCAGCATCCATGTGTTTTTTGGGTATTTGCAATATCCGTACACCTCAGCCGAGTAAAAATATTTAAGCTTAAAATATTTAGGATACTTCTGCCGCCGTCGCTTTCCAATGCGCAAAGTC